GCTGCTGCTGCTGCTGTTGCTACGACTACTACTACTACTGCTACTACTGCTACTACTACTACTACTACTACTACTACTGCTACTACATTTCGGCACTCCGGGCCCCGGAACCTCAAACATCCCTCTACTCAGGATCGTGTACCCGAGAGTACCCTCGTAGTTAGAGTTAGAGCTTCTGGCATCCCTGGGAGCTACGAGATCTTTTTTCTAGCCCAGCATCTCTAGTCCTCCAGTGAGGAAGTTGCGGCTTGGGGTTCGGGGGTATATGTGAGTGTAGCAACATCCCTGCCCTAAGTACGGGATAGTGGCGTCTACCGGCCTTGCCCACAACCCGGTTACCAGAAATCCGACACCCCCAAGCCGTGATCACCAATGCCCTAAATACTAAACCCGAAGCCCCATTGTCCTAATCCCTAATTCCTCGATGCTGGGGCTCTGACAAGCAGCTTCAAAGAGGCTGAGATGGCATAGCCCGCGAGGCAGATCATCAACGTGCCTCCAACTCTGGTCTTGCTGCAAGGGCCGTCGATTCTTCAGGGCTCGCCAAAGCAACGGTGCTTGCTACAAGGGCCCACAATTTTGGGGGAAGGTCCAGGGTAGGGTCTTTACGCATGGAGGCATAGCCGCTACTCATTCTTGATGCCGTCAAGATAGTTCATGGCTTTCGGCAAGCAGTGCTGGTTGTAGCAGCGCCAACTCTCTCTTAAAAGAGAGTTCTTCAGGCAGATGGCACCATCTAGACCCCACCCTAGGACTCCAAACCTAAAACACCCAACCCCAACACTCCACCCCACAGCCCACCCTGCTGAGACGAATCTTCGACACCAAATCCAACCTACCTGATCTTCATAGCCCAAACTAAGGGCGCTCGTAGAATTTTGATGTATGCCTTGAGATAAATGTAAAGCATCAGCTTTCTCTTAATGAGGTTGCTAAACATGGTGTGGCCACAGTAGAAACATAATCTATACATAAACTACTTCGACATAATACCTTTGCGATTATGGACAGTCAAAACGAATGTTAGCGACATCGTCTTTCAGAGATTGAAGGGATACAGACTTGACTATGGAGGAGTGGCCTGGGTTTAGGGCAGACAGTCTTCTATCGCTTTGCCTATATATTTGTATACATACACATATACACGTATGCCTGTACATGTATATATGGAAGCATGCAACGAGAGAGCGAGAGAGAGAGAGAGAGAGAAAGAGGTAGATATATAAACGCATGGGCAACTAACTGTCGATTGCGAAAACAATTCTACCGCCAGTTCCCCGAAGGTGCATAGGCACTTAGGCACCGGTGATTCCTCAAACAGATTTGAGCTGCCGGAGTTACAACCCTGCTTCTTACCGGCAATTGTGATGCACGCGGGCCCAGCCTATCCGTCCCGTGCGGCGCTCACCAAAACTGGTCGCACTCACTTCGGTCTCCGGGTCGTAGGAGCCTTGGTCGTGGTGTGTGGATTCGGGCTCCCTGCGGGTGAGCGTCTGGCACTTCAAAGCTTTGATGAGATGTTTCTGCAAACTAAAACCGAGGCCACTTCTACACTGCAAAGTCTGAAGCCTGTGACGACATCATGCCACTGCAGATCTTTTGAACACGTCAACTGCCTTACAGACACAGAGTTGAGAATCTAGACCCGAACCCCCAAACCTCTACCACGTCAACTCAACAGGCGATCGAGGGCCCGGGCTTGGGATCATCTCCAAGATGCCCAAGAAGCACTCTTCCTGTAAAGCGCAGACTTACGGTACTTCAATCTTGACCAAGCCTCGACGACTAACACTACTGCTACTGCTACTTTTACTTTTTGCTGCCACAACAACAACTACCACTGCTACAACTACTACCACGGCAACTACAACTCTTTCGACTACTCTCTACGACGACAACAGCAACAGCAACAACAAGAACTACTGCTGCTGCTGCTGCTGCTGGTGCTACTACTACTACTACTACTACTACTACTACTACTACGACTACGACTACGACTACGACTACGACTACGACTACGACGACGATGCCGACGACGACGACTCCGACCACTACGACTTGCGACAGCAACAACAACAACTTCTTCTTCATATTCTGCTGCTACAACAAAAACTACTAGTACAGCTACAACTACAACTAATTACTACTACCACTACCACTACGACTACCACTACTACCAATACCAACACTACCTCTGCCAGGCCTGCTGCTGCTGCTGCTGCTGCTGATGCGATGACGACGACTAAAACCAGCGCTACTTGGCGCAGTACTGACATTGCTCTGACTGTTGCTGTTGTTACCCCTGCTCTATTGCTAGTGCAATCCGCGACGGACCTTGAGGCTCCCTTGGGGACAATTTTGCCACGGCAGCCCTGGCAGAATCAGTCAGCTCAGCTATAGCTTTGAACTTCTCCTCGGACTGCTCTCATGCAACAGAGCTGTGAGTAGCTGGCGGAACAAGAGACATGTCGGGGGTGCGGTTGCCGGCAACTTCTCCCTG